TAAACACTAAAGGGAACAGCAGAAGAAGCCAGACAGGAAGTAAACACTAAAGGGAACAGCAGAAGAAGACAGACAGGAAGTAAACACTAAAGGGAACAGCAGAAGAAGCCAGACAGGAAGTAAACACTAAACGGAGGACGCTATGGGCTGTGACGTGTTTAAAGACTGGTTAATGGAAAATAAAATGTGAACAGACTGGACAGTTAGAGAAAACTTCGATAAGTGCTGCCGTCATTTTAAGTTACGTTGCTATATCCGCAGTTCCAGCTGTTGGTACGCAGTGAAACTGACTACTTTTTTTTGTTGATAAAATCATTTTGACTCAGTATTGTGAGTCAAGTCTTTGATTTATTTTGTATTTAGCCGTGTAATAAGAGGGATGATGTGCAAAGAGGCGGCCATTAATGAAAAAGAACAGCTGACATGGTAATCAGTTATTTTATTCCTTACTTGTAATTCTTCCCCCTACTTGTTACTGAAAAAGATAAGACATGACTGCCGAGGCTTTGTGATCCAGATGTGCAGAGAGCAGTTTCCCCTCAGGTGCACACAGCTGACAGAAGGCCTGCAAGAATCCACCGCTGGCATCAAACTCTCTCACTCCATTTCATTTACGCTTTTATTCCTACCAGTCAGTATCTCCCTTTATAGTCTTTCAATCTCCATCCCTTCTTCTCTTACATCTTAGGTCATTCAAGCGTTCATCTGTCTCTCTTTCAAGTTTCAAGGCTTTTATTGTGATTCGTTCCTAGCTACAGTGTAGTTATGAAAATGAAAATCTTAGGTCCCAGGCTCATCCAACAGTGCAACACAATAAAACAGATCAAATAGTGCAAGTAGATAGAATCAAATGGAATAGAAGTAGTGCCAGAAGAGTCTCTATACAAGTGATATATCATGTGTAAGTTGCAAACAGCTGAATGTTATGGATGTTCTTAGTTCAGGTGTTATGTCTCTCTCACTTTGCATTCTTCCTCTCGTCTGATTCCACTCTTCTTCTTTTTTTCTTCTCCCTGACAAGACGTACTGTATGTTTGCCCTTCCAGCCTCATTCACACGTGCACACTCTCACGCCCCGGTGCACACATCCTCTTCCTTCTTTCTGTCCATCTCTTCTGGATCTCTACCCGCCCAGCAGTTCTGGACCGCTGCCCGTCCTCCTCGGGGAAACACAGCTGAGCAGAGAGAATAGTGGAGCAGCGCCTATAGCCCGGCCTCCTTAGCCTTATCTCACACACACACACACACACACACACACACACACACACACACACACACACACACACACACACACACACACACACACACACACACAGGATCCGTCCAACTTCACAAAATTGCAAAGCCTTTAAAGTTACATTTCAAATCAAATCTCATCTTTCTCTCTCTCTTCAGAACCTTTAATGGAGTCTTGAATACTAATATATCACCATTAATATTATAGTAATTCATCGATCTTTACGTTAAGGACTTCTTTATAACGGATCACCCTTACGAAATACGACTTTTTAGGACTGCGATTTTGGACGATACGACTTTACATTACACATTCTTCTTTTCACTTCTTAAATCTAACTTTACTATTGGTACTTATTGACCCCCCGATCTTACACACCTATCTCCTTCTTTATTTTCGTTTTGTCGGAACCATATTCGTCGTACTTATTAAACTTACGTTCTGAAAAACTTGATTGAACTTTACCACTTACTAAGGAAACCCCAGCGGGTACGGGTTGCAGGTAAACTATTGTAGGGTAGTTATTGCCGAATCTACGCATACTACGACGTAGCAATGTTTTGGAAACTTCAAAACCCGGAAAACCTTGTAAAAGTGACTTCAATGACTCTTTTTGGCACAAAGTACCGCCTCGTAACACAACCGGTACCGTTGCCGTAAACCTTCTTGAGAGTTTTGACAGGGCATCTACTAGAAGTGTGACCTGACACTTCAAACTCGTGAAAAACTTTTTTAAAAGTATCCTCAATTCAAATATGCGCTTTGTGTAGCAGAAAACACCGCTCATCCCTGACGCAAAGGTTACCTTTGCCGTATGACTACTGTGGGATTTTTTAACTGCATCTCGTACAACTCCCGTCCTGGTAATTGGAAATTAGACTTTCAGACCGACGAGGACTCGTATTGTCTTACTCTCTATAATATCTTGAGTAGCACAAGGACTGTCCACATAATAAATACTCTATGCCCACTAGGTCTCTAGTGTCCAAAGGGTAACCCAAGGAACTTACTCTGGCTATTTGGAGAATGTACCAGCTTAGTAAAACACCTTCTTGGCATTTGTCTATAGCCACTCTTATTAGTTTCGCACGTTCGTAGTTTAGGTAACCCATAGACTTACATTTAAATTCTCTATAGATATAATATTAATATATAGCCCAGTTATTACACCGGAAAAAATCGTCTAATTATTTCCACGCGACCACTCCTTTAATAGTCCGGACTTTAATGTTACCCGAAAATTACCTCTTGTACAACTTTCAAAAACAGGTGAAGTACGGGAGTTCTCCGTAAATCAATAAAAACAAAAAATTGACAGGGGATGATTTACTTAGATTAGTTTATTTAGTTATTTCAATATGACCTAATCGTACCCTTAGCATGTGACGTGTTCTTATCGTTTGTCCGTGATTAGGTTCTAAGTTTCTAATGTTTTAGAAGTCTTTACATACTCCGCAGATTATTAATACCAACATTCCTTATTTTAGTTATGAATATACGCGCATTGCCCAATTTTACTTATTGTGACAAAATAAGACATTGGCTTGCAGGCTGTAACAAGTGTTGTGATCTGGAAGGACATACGGTCCTGGCCACAATGTAATCGTACATCGATTATAATAACAAAACACTGCACTTAAATTCCTCTCATTAAAATTATAGCACACAACAACGTGTGATTGTGTTCAGAAATTTGGGAGTGAGTAACTTCGACGTTATGATAAGGTAATCCCTTAGCAGAAATTTACTGGTTGTCATAATTCTTATAACATTTTGATTGGTAGTCTTGTGCTGTGCCTGCACGAACCTGGGCGGGGGACAGTTGCGATTTCCGGTTATCCTCTTCTGATGTCACTATTTTTACCCTTTTGGTCGTCCTTCAGGCCAGAGAAGGGTCGACAGGTAGTTCCTATCATCTATCTGCCTCCTCGTGAGCGGTTCAGTGGTACAAACATTAAGGGGACATAGTGACAAGTAACCAAATTATTTGGCGACAATCTGAAACGTTTATTCGAACGACCTGAGAAAAGTCGATTAGGACCTGAGTCCCGATTTTATTTGATGTACCAGAATCCCAATCCATATCTCATTGAAAAAGTTTTGTCACGTCCCCTTCAAAGTAAAGAGTTGACAGACATTTTTCTTTCTTTAGTGGGATTACATTTCCAAGACTTAAGTGATAGTTTTAATGACGACAGAGAAGTGAATATTCACCTCTTACCAGTTGTGAAAAGGACTTACCGAACGAACAGTCGGTCACTTCCGCTCCAGAAAGACTTAGACAGACCGTTCGTTCTAAGGTGCTGAGAAAGTACTTTTTTAAGAAAATGTTTCATCGACAGACGAGACAGTGGATATACCTCCCTCTCCCTAAGTGAGACAAAGAAGGCCGGTACAGAGACGTTCTGGGTCAAACAACTTTAACACAGTTAATTGCAAGGTAAGTT